GTCCCTTGTCCAGGATTGGGGATGAAGACCACAACGGCAGACCACAGCGGAGAAGCTAACCTTCGGTACGGTGTGGATGGCGGAAGTGGCAATCCGTAATTTTAGGGCTGGTATAGAATCAAGCAGCGTCTGATACCAACTAGTGCATCAAGCAGACTTTCGTAAGGGTTTTAGCACTATCGATCACTTGAAAACAATCCGGACAGTTATTGAAATAACAATAGAGTACAACATACCACTACATCTGGCATTTGTCGATTATAACAAACCATTCGACAGTATCGAGAAATGGGCTTTCTTAACAGCATTGGACGACGCCAGAGGTGATTCAAGATATGCTGCCGTCCTTAAGAATATATAGGATAATGTTAATTTTCACGTTAAAATAGATGATGATCTGGAAACTATGAAAATAGACCTTAGCAAAGGTGTAAGACAGGGCGACACAATCTCACCAAAGCAAAGTTATTTGCTTTGGCATTAGAAAATGTCTTCAAAAAACTAAATTGGGCCGAAAAGGGATTAAAAATAGATGGAGTGTATCTTAACCATTTGCGTTTCGCAGACGACATAGTACTAATAAGCTTAGATATCCATGAACTAAAATCAATGCTACAAGATTTAAATCACAAATCGAATCAAATAGGATTGAAAATGAATCTCGACAAAACAAAGATATTAAGCAACAGCCTAGAAAACATCACGATAGATAACATCAATATAGAAAAGGTAGAACAATATATATCCAGGACAAGCAATTAAAAACAAAACGGAAAATCAAACCTTAGAAATTAAATGAAGGACACAATTGTCATGGGCTGCTTTTGGTTAGTTGAGCTTCATTTTAAAAGACAGAAAGATTCCAATACACTTAAAACGAAAAACCTATGGTACTTGTATACTACCAGTTGCAACTTATGGATTGGAAACTATGGCAATAACAAGAAAAATGGCAGAACAATTTAGAGTAACTCAACGGGCCATGGAGAGGGCCGTGTTAAATATAAGCCTCAGAGACAAAATTCCTAACACCGAAATACGTCGAAGAACTAAAGTAACCGACATCATGGAAAAAATAGCGACATTGTGATGGTAATGGGTAGCACATGTAGCAAGACAGAACACCAACAGATGGTCTTATAAAGTGACATTCTGAAGACCTCGAGGAGGCCTATGTCCAACAATGGATAAATGAATGCTGAAGAAGAAGAAGACTCTAATTTCTGGCCGTTTCCAGTAACCTTTGTGTTAAGGATGTGTCGGGTATTGTTTCTGAGGCATATGTCATTAGTGATCTTACACTGGCTTTATAAATTCTTGACTTCATTTCAGTGTTAACGTGTATGTTTCACCAGATAGTGTGATTAAGGCATCCTGCTAGCCTATTTGCTTTTTGTACATGATCACTCACTTCTTTGTGCAGGTCTCCATAGCTGGACAGTGTAATTCCAAGGTATTTTATTTCCATTACTTGTCCGATACCGATGCCATCAATTTCTATTTTACATCTGATTGGTTTTTTGCTGATTACTCTTGTTTTAGTTTTATGAGATGAGATTGTCATATTAACGCTTAATTTAGCGAGACTTAATATAACAGTAATCTTTGTGAAATTGTTGTTTAGGTAGTGTGATATGGCATATCACAAAACATTTTGACCATTTTTATATTATTCTTTGTATAAATAAGGAAGATATGGATTGTAACCCACAAGATACATACTCAAATATCCAAATTTATTGTAAACGTTTATTATGTATCTTATAAGAAACATAGTCTAAGATTGTAGGTGAAACCTCACAATAAAAGCAGAAACTAAAAGTACTAAAACTAGTTTTTTAATAAAGAATGGAAAGAAAAAATAATAAAGTAAGATATTAATTTTTCATTCCCAAAAACAACCAAAACTGTTGTAACACTTACTTATGTGCTAATATGAAAAGAATTAAACAGTTTCTATCCTTGTATTGGTGTTTCGCTGAAACTAAGAAAACACTCTACTTATATATCTAAATGAATTCATTTTGAAACGTTTCATTAAAACAAATTCAACTACTGTAATTTGAAATGAAGTGCGGAATAGGTACAAAACAAAAATATTTCACAAAACTAAATATATGGCAAAGTAAACTATAAGATACATAACAAAAAAGTTCCGTTAAGCTATATCTTTGGAAAGTAGATTATAGGATACAGCTTAAAAAATGATTCGGTATTGTAACTTTTGGATATTTATATATAAATATTCATATATGTATGGTCACAACACATATATGCACAACTAAGGATAAACTTCTGTTTACTACTTTGGTGATAATGATGAATGATCACCTTTTCCATCTTTTTTCTTCTTCCTGTAATATAGGGAGAGAAAATGTTACATACACTTAAGGTTAGATAATGAGTTTTCTCGTTTGGGGGTAGCTTCCAAACATTCTCCCCTTTAGGTTTGCGGTTAATGATGCCTTAAGTTAGGATCATTTAGTTAGGATTAAGGATTTTAAGGATATAAATTTTCACATGTTACAATATTTACCATTATGGGTTCAGTTTCTGCAGTCATCACAAAAAAATCCATATTTACAGTTTTTCCTGAATTAATTAATAATTAAAATAATAATTAAATAATAATTAAAAAGATTTCTAATTTTGTTAAGTAAAAAAATCTTTTTGTTATCTTTATCGGAGGGTTTATATACAATACTATGAAAAGATATTGGACACTATTCCTGCTTTTAATAGTTCTAAATATAGATCCATGTCTTTGTGTTTGTTTATGGGGCATAGATACGGATCACTGTTCCAATGGTTCCCCATTCACATATCGGTGTTTCTGTTTTATCTTATTTATAGACAATTTTATCCACTTCGTAAACGACTAATATTTGTTACAGTATTCCTACTCATTTACCCACATTTGGGGTTTTATGGGGAAATTACATTAAAATTTTACAATAGTTTGAATATGTATCTTTAGTTTGAGAATGCCGCTCATTGTAAGATTGTGTTAGAATGTCTGTTTTAATAACACAAAAGATATCTGTAATAATATTTCTAATATCGTATGGTACTCTTAATTCTCTCCCAATATTCGACAACCTATCCGCTACCTCATTATCTTTAATCCCCTGATGTCCTGGTACAAATTCTATTCTGAACAGCTACCATGAACAGTGAAAATATAAAAATATTTATAGAAACGGGAATGCTTTAGTAAAATGGGCAGATGAAATTTGTATTTCTTGTTTTCTAACTGATTTCACACACAGAAAACATCGTCAAGTAATAATAGAAATAGGGATACAAATTCTCTTAATTTGATCCATTCCACGGCCAAGATGGAATTTTAAACAGTCCAACAAGAATAGTTTCTCTGCCGACCTGGATAAATGCCTGGATAACACTTAATACCAAAAAATATAACAGATCTCTTGATGCTGTGTTAAGCATAGCCAAGAAACACATACCAAAAGGTATCGCATATAATACATCTCTTGCTGGTCACAAAATAGCGAGTAATTATAGCTTGGAGTGGACTGATGCCTTAAAAAGTCTTAACTCAGACATGAAGCAGGCAAGAATGGTCATTATTAAGAACACTAGGGAGTGGTGCTTCTACAAAACGCCAAAATGCAGATGCCGTAGCATAGCCATAATATAAACATCCAGGACACAAAAAGAGAAAGTACTCACAATCTACGTGAAGAGAAAACTGAAAATTTTAAAACATGAAGCCACAGATACGCAACGTTTCCACCCCTTCTCCAGCGAAGACCTCAGTATCAGATCTCTTAAACACGTTATCAGCAAAAGCACCAGAATACAATCTTTTGCAATCAACTTTTGCAATGTTGGAAATGGTTTTATTATGTTCACTTTTTAAAGATCTTGATAGACTAACTCTCACTGGTGCTTATAGTACCGTAGAATCATTATAAGATTATTCTTTCTGGCTTTTATTATTGCAAAAAGTTGGACTAAACAATTTAAATTACTTTTCCACCTATTCTCTAGCGAAGACATATTAGAGGCCAGCAAAAGCACTAGATTTGATAATATTCACCCCCTGAATTTCTAATCAATTGTGGCAAGTTTACAAAAGTATAGCTCTATATTTCACAGACATCATGCAAAATGCAAATATCTTAAAAGAACTTCTACGATAATAGCCATACTAAAGCCCGGCAAACCTGTCGAAGAATTGAATCCCAGAAGGTAATCCCAGTTGAACAGGCAGAATAATCAAGAAAGTTAAAGTACGCCGACGACTGGGTCCCTATTACCAGATGCAAAACACTAGAAACATCTGAAGACGGCAGAACTAAAGATACTGAGTAAATACTTCCGCAAGTGAAAACTACAACCAAATGCTTCCAAAACAGTTGCTTCCACCTGAACAATAAACTTGCCGGAAAGGAACTCAAAATACTGTTAGAAAATACCACTCTTACTCGCAACAACACACCGAAGTACCTGAGAATGACATTAATAGACAGAACGCTGTATTTTTAAGAGCATTTTATAAAAACTGCCCAAAAGTATGGTACAAGAAACAATAACTATTGTGGCACAACAACCCTTTAAGTAGGGTAAAGACAATGTGTATTTGAAATTTAAGTTAAAATTATGTTTGCATGGTATCCCCGCCAATCCCCGGCGCAAAATCGGGTCCTCTATCCGGCAATTTCTTAGCTGTAGAAACTGTGCCAATCTTCAAGCAATGAAGTTACGACATAAACTTTTTCCAACAATTCCAATTTCTGTAGGTTAGGGTTTTATATATTTTTATATATAATTAAAAACATTCTAACAGTTTTCATTTCCTCTTCTAACAGTAAAAGTAGAAACCAAACTAATAAAACTATATTTAGTTCTTATTTATTTATTAAAGTATATTAAGTTTTCAAAATTTCTCTTGATACTTTACACTTTTTCGTATTTGAAAAGTTTTTTATATATAATTATTCAACAATATTGTTAACACCGTATTATTATTTCAGAAGGAACCAGCAAGAATCCGTCCGGTGAAAAATACACCAACTAAGAAGGTTCCTGATAAATCATCCCGTACTACATCTACAGAAAAGTAAGCTTAATATTATTTCATTATACAATCAAGTTCAAAACCAAACAGTTATTGCTTGTAGGAGAATTCTGTTATGTAGTATAGGATGTAGGCAACACACTTAACAGCGCGCCGTATTAGTAGCTGCCGCATAAGTAGCGTGCGAGAGCTGCTATTTATTTAATTGAAACTGGCTGTACAATGTGTTGCCTATATAAATGGAATATTACAGTGTGTATACAAAGTTGTTAACCAGAAAGTGTGGGGGTATAGCTCAGTGGTAGAGCATTCGACTGCAGATCGAGAGGTCCCCGGTTCAAACCCGGGTGCCCCCTCAACTTTTTTTATATTCTATCCTCAACTTTTTTTATATTCTTAGTTCAATTTAATGATATTGAATATTTTAAATATTTTTTTTTATATTTTACTAAAGATTAAGGACAAATATATAAATAACTATTTTTTTTTGTTTAATAAAACTCAGGAAACAGGAATCTTACGACTATTGCTATCTGATCATTCACTATGATCAATGAGCAAGTTAGTTCTATATATAAATATTACAAGAAACTTATCTAAGGTTATATTCAGCAATATTCCTTAGGCTCTAATACATTATAGTACTACTAGCTAACGTGTAGGTACACTTATAAATAAATAACTATTTAATTCAAATATGATGGTGTTGAATAACATATATTTTTTTGTTAAACACCGCGTGTTTAACAAAAATATATAAATAATTAGCACAAATTAGTATAAAGCACAAATTCTTAAAGAACTAGGTGGTGGTGATCTTCTAGACCGACGAATTGAGTTTTGTGAACTCATGACTGAAAGAATTCGCGTTGAACCGAGAATGTTATAAAATATTTATTTCACTGATGAATGTACTTTTATGCTGAATAATAATGTAAATAAACAAAACTGTCGGTACTAAAGTGATGCGAACCCGCATCGATTCAGAAAAGGTGAAACTCAATATCCTGAAAAACTGAATGTTTGGGCAGGAACATTAGGCAATGATGTAATTGGCCCTTGTTCATACCAGGCAATTTAAGTGGCGACATTGATCACGATATGCTGAAAAGCACCATCGAATCTTTAATTGTGCATGAATTAGAGAACCAAAGGGATGATCAATGCAACCTAGCTCTAGACGAAGATTTGGACCAAGTGACCATGGAGGTCACCAGACTTACCGCCACCCTGACTTTTTTCTATGGGTTACCTAAAGTCAGTTGTTTATAAAAGTTAACCTTCGTCACTTGGGAAATTGCGAGAAAGAATTACGCAAGCATGTCGAACTATTACTAGAGCAACATTTGCCATTTAAGCCAAATTTTACAATCATTGCTTCACCCTGTATAATTATTAAACCAGACAAATAAAACAATACAAAATCATACCATAGAAAATGTTGAACATTATGTATATCTAGGTCATGTCATCCCAACTAGGAAAACCAAATCAAGATGCTGAAATTAAAAGAAGAACACAACTGGCATGGGCGCTTTCAGCAAACTAGCATGTATCTTGAAAAATACCTCAATTCCTGTAACCTTAAAGAAAAAGGTCTATAACACATGCATACTATCAGTTTGTACCTACGGCTTGGAGACAGTAACTCTTACCAAAAAATCTGCTAAAAAATTAGAAACAACGCAAAGAGCAATGGAACGAATCATACTTGGAATATCACTGAGAGGCAAGATTAGAAACACCGAGATAAGACGTAGAATGAAGATTAGGGATATCGTAAAAAAAATTTAAAAAATGAAATGGCACTGGGCAGGTCACGTAGTCCGATATAATGACAACAGGTGGACACGGAGAATTCTAGAATGGAGACCAAAGACGACAACAAGAAGCATGGGAAGATCTCAAAAAAGATGGGTAGATGACATAAGATCTACATTCAGGAGTGGATGGAAAATGGTTGACAAAGAGTATAATTATTATTTATACCATTGGATAGCATTTTTATAGTCTTTTCAATGACGTATCACAAGTAGGGGTTTGCAATTTAAACTTTTGGTTGTGGTGGGTGGGCCTAGGAGTTGATAGAGGTGAATTCTCTCTCATGACATTTTAGTTCCCCCTTACTATACCTACTAGAAACGCAGACGACACGGTACTTATTGCCTCCAATGAAGAAGACCTGCAACGACTTATAAATAGGGTAACCGAAGCATGTGATGAATATGGGCTAAAACTTAATACTTCTAAGACAAAACGAGGTTGTCAGCAAAACGGAGTTACAATCAACGAACATCAGAGCGTATGGAATACAGTTAGAAATAGTCCACAATCTTATCTACTTGGGTGCAAACGTTATCGATGACTGGGATATAAATAAAGAAATAAGAATACGCATTGAAAAAGCCAGAGCCGACTTCTATACATTAAAGAATATTCTAATTAATAGAGATATTACGTTAAACCTTAAAATTAGATTAATACGCTGCTACATATTCTCCACATTGCTTTATGGTATGGAGAGCTGGACCCTTACAGAGACATTAATGAAAAAATTAGAGGTATTTGAGATGTGGATTTATCGACGAGTATTGCGGATAAGTTGGGTTTATCGAATAAGAAATGAAATAGTTTTACATCGAATGAAAAAGAGCACAGAAATAACAAAAACGATAAAAATTCGAAAGTAACAATATTTTGGTCATGTAATGAGACATCTAGAGATGTATAACCTTCTAAACCTCATAATACAGGGAAGATCGCCGGAAGGAGAGGCTCAGGCCGACGAAGAACATCCTGGCTCCGAAATCTCCGAAAATGGTATCAAGAGACCACGGCTAATTTATTTAGAGCCGCCGTAAACATGGTTATTATTGCCAATATGATCGCCAACGTTCGATAATCGGACAGGGTACTGAAAGAAAAAGATACTAGAAACAGTTTTAAGCATTTTTCGATATCAGCTTTTGTTCGTGAGATATAACCCATTGTAAGTTTTAAAATTGACACACTGAATAAAACCCAAATATACAAAAAAGAATACAAAAAAAACAAGAACTTTCTCGTATGAGCCCCCAAACGTAGTCAACCAATGATCGCATCATATTCGCATGTCCTTGATACCGTTGTTCGAGGTTTATTACACCTTGATGAAAGCGTTCCCCTTGGTCTTCAAGTGAGCTTGTATCATGTGTACTTTAAAAGACATTCTGCAACCCACGACTTTGAAGCCGTCAAGCATGTTAGAAATAAGCTTTTGTAATGGTCAGAAGTTTTTCGTGGGAACGCAGGAAATTTTCCTTATTTGTATACCGATGAAAATACCAGCTTTAATTTTAGCCTCTGACGATTTTAAATATTGAAAGGCCTCAGAATATTGACGAAGAGCCTTACGAACTGCTTCATGATACCTAAGTTTATGTGCAATGGAGACATTAAAATATGATGCGGCTCCTTCTGCTTCTTTAGTTGGTGCCGTGTCCGTGGTCAGACGTTGGCTATCATCATGTTTACAATTTCCTGAAATCGTTCTCTATCGGCTACTGCGCGAAATACCCAATTCTTCTGCTGTGGTACCAATGTCTAATATTACACAACCGTGAAAGTTTCTTTCGACAAATCCATCTCTTTTCCTCTACTTTTCCTTGTATTACAAGGCGAAGTTTGTGGTATTTGGTCCTCTAATTATATGGCCGAAGTATTGTGTTTTTCTTCTCTTTATGATATTTGTGAGCAAGCGTTCTGAATTCATCATTTTAAGAACATCTACATTGGAAGTGTGCGAAACCCATGATATTTTTAGGATCCATCGATAGCACCACATTCGAATGCTTCTAATTTAATAAGCGTTGTGATTTTTAATGTCCATGTCTCACAACCATATAATAGGATATATCACACATAACATTTCAGGATGGGGCTCCACAATGGGTTTATTTTTGACGTTGAGTTGTCCTATTTGAAACTCGCTCCGTTGGGACCATGATTGCTGCTGATAGTGAAGTGCATCGGTTCTACTATCCCATAAGCAGATGTAAAACAGATATTTATGTTTTCGCCTTCCATTCCGACCAGAAAACCAACCATTTTAAAATCCCCTATTACTGGACAAGCAAATTTCATTATTTTGAGCAGTGAAGCTATATTTCTGCTTTAGTTTAGGTAGATTTAAATCTCTTACTAAGTCATTTAACTCATTTTGCAGTTTTTACATGAGAAATGTCCTATATTTTATCTTGACTTTGTACGGGTAAGTTAAAATAAGCTTCATAGGCTTCACAAAGTTTAATATTTGCTGTCAAACAAAATGTTTTGGCTCTTACTTTAATGAATTCGCCGCAAATATAGCAAAAAGAGTCCACGTCATTTTTACACCGTTTGTAAGACATTTTTAGGCCCCACTAGTGTCAGTTTGCCACTTCCCGTTTCAAATCCACAGTCTCTCCTCACCCACCACTTGCTTCTTAAGTGTAACAGCTCCCCAACAAATCTGCCAAAACAAAGTATATTCATTTTTCATTATAAAAACGTATGAAAACAAACTTATTATTATTATATTATTTATACTTTCTTCTTAATTTTCGATGCATACAAAGAAAAAAATATTTACTAAATAACATACTTTAAAATTTCTTATTTGTATTGATGTATTATTATGTAATGTATTATTTGTTATTTTGGACTGTGTCTCTTCTGGGAAAAGTACAATTTCGATTTTAAAGGAGAAATAAATATAAAGACTTAGAATCAATTTATTCTATTACGGACGACTGGTTTCGCATACTAAAATTTACTATGCATCCTCAGGTCTCCGGTACGACAAATTAAGTGCTGAAATTACAATTATCAGTATTAGGGTGTTGTCTGGCACAAAATACATATCAATTATGCCAATATTATATATGTACAGCTTTAATGGTGTACAATTTTAAATTATATGAGTTTTACTTACATGCCGATGCAAAGAATATTCTTAAATGTGTGTTAAACGATACTTAAAGCTCCGTTAGGGCTAGCTGGGACCTGGCGGTCATCGGCTTTAC